AGACCGAAAAGCTCTTCAATCATCTTGTGGTAAATGCTTCCAGGCTTCAAACTCACCCTTCAGGGCAGAGGTCTACCTTCTGGCCAAGGGTAGATCCAGAAAGACCATCTAAGAGCCAATACCTGGAACTGGAGGCACCTAGAGCCTGCTTGGTGCTCTTCCCCACTGTGGCCAAGCTGGTACCTAAGCTGCAAGATAAAGTCCTTTTTATTCTTCCCTCTCCTTTTTTCAAGCAGAAGGGTTCTTTCCTTGTAGCCACCACAGCTGTGAATATGCTGAGCGACACCTGAAACCAGCACATCTCACAGTCTCACCCAAGGCCATGACATGTACTACCTGGTTAGTGCTACTGATTATTCAGGACCCTAGAGCTCTTAGGTCAGAAGGTGATAAATCCTGCCAGGACTGGGTCCCCTTCAAGGCAGTGGGTTCTCCCTGGCCTGGAGTGTGTCTAAAAATTTCACCTGAGAGCTAGGGCCTGGAATGGGGGCTTCATGACTCTGCACAGGGCCCTATCTTACTGTGGCTGAGCTGGTGTCCAAGTTGCAAAACAAAATCCTCTTTACTCTTCCCTGTGTGCTGTGCTTGGGAGGGGTAGCACTCCCTTAGCCGCCCAGGATAGTGTCTCACTGGGTCTCATGCCCCTCCAAGTCCACTGGATCTGAACCCAGTACAGCACCAGGACTTGCCTAGGAGTTGCAGTCCTTGTGGCCTTGCCAGCCTGTCAAGTTTATTTAGGACCCCAGAGCACTTTAGCCTGTGATGGTTGAAGCTTGCAGAAACTCAAGTTCTGACTGTTGGGATAGGCGATTCCCCCTGGCTAGGGCTGGTCTAAATGCTCCCTCTGTGGGCACTGGTTGTGTTTTGACTGGTATTGGTAGCACTGAGTTCCCATAATTGCTGCACCCTTACTCCCCCAAATTCACAGATACTCTGCACAATGTGGCCACTGCTGGGGGATGGAGAAAGGCTAATGCCAGTGATTCAAGACCATCTTTCCTACCCTCTTCAGTGTACCTTCCAGCGATACGAAGTTAACATCAGATACTCTGATTGCTCACCTGTTTTTGCTTCTTTGAAGGTGCTTTTTAATGTAGACAGTTGTCAAATATAGTGTTCCTGTGGGGAAGATGATCAGTGAAGGCTTCTATTTAGCCATCTTGCTTCTTCCCCTCCACATGTGTACACATTTTTGTAATGGGTGTATATTTTTATTTCTCTAGGAAATATACCTTGGAGTGGAATTCTAGGTTTTATGATCACTTTATGCTTAACTTTTAAAGGAAATGCCAGACTGTTTTCCAAAATGGCTGTGCTATTTTACTTTCCCATCAGCAATATGGAGGGGTTACAATTTCTCTGCATCTTTGTCAATGCTTATTATTGTCTGGTTATCTTTTTTTTTCTTCAAATTTTTTATTTTAGCCATCCTAGTAGGTGTAAAGTAGATTTTGTGGGTTTGATTTGCATTTCTCTGATGACTACTGATGTTGAACAGCTCTTCATGCACTTATTGGCCATTTGTTCTTTGGTTTCTGGCTGTGGGTTAATGGAGAGTCAAGTTGAGATGGCTTAATAAAATAGCATATTCTCTAATAGATTTATCAAACATTTTTGTGATCTATCTTCATTCTCATTCTGTCTCTTTTTCTCTCCCTACTCCCCCAACCCTTTGAATATACAAATTTAGGGGTGGAAACCCCAGAGAGTATGGATCTGGTTTTCCTTTCTTATGCCAGATGGCTGGAGCTACTCTTTTTGATACATCTCAAATCCTAGAGTGTAGACGTAAGGTAGGGTAGGGTAAGGAAGGGAAGGTGCCTTTGGAGATTCCAATCCTATGGACATAGGAGTATCAAACAGCTCAGGCCTGGTGTTTTCTGCTCTATTCTTATCATGGCTGGTGGGGTAGTGCCTCTTGTAAGAACAGGTTCTATTCTTTCTTTTGCTTTTTTAAAATATACATTAAGTTCTGGGATACATGTGCAGAACATCCAGGTTTGTTACAGAGGTATACACGTGGCATGGTGGTTTGCTGCACCCATCAACCCATCATCTACATTAGGTATTTCTCCTAATGCTATCCCTCCCCTACCCCCCAAGTCCCTGACAGACCGCGGTGTGTGATATTCCCCTCCCTGTGTCCATGTGTTCTCATTGTTCAACTCCCACTTATGAATGAGAACATGCGGTGTTTAGTTTTCCGTTCCTGTGTTAGTTTGCTGAAAATGATGGTTTCCAGCTTCATTCCTGTCCCTGTAAAGGACATAAACTCATTTTTTTTTTTTTTTGAGACAGAGTCTCGCTCTGTCGCCAGGCTGGAGTGCAGTGGCACAATCTCAGTTCACTGCAACCTCTGCCTCTTGGGTTCAAGCGATTCTCCTGCCTCAGCTTCCCGAGTAGCTGGGACCAAAGGCACATGCCACCATGCCCGGCTAATTTTTATAGTTTTTAGTGGAGACGGGGTTTCACCATGTTGGCCAGGATGGTCTTGATCTTTTGACCTCGTGATCCACCTGCCTTGGCCTCCCAAAGTGCTGGGATTACAGGTGTGAGCCACCACATCCAGCCAAACTCATCCTTTTTTATGGGTGCATAGTATTCCATGGTGTGTATGTGCCACATTTTCTTTATCCACTATATCATTTATACTGGACATTTGGGTTGGTTCCAAGTCTTTGCTATTGTGAATAGTGCTGCAATAAACATACGTGTGCATGTGTCTTTATAGCAGAATGATCTGTAATCCTTTGGGTATATACCCAGTAACAGGATTGCTGGGTCAAATGGTATTTCTGACTCTAGATACTTGAGAAATTGCCACACTGTCTTCCACAATGGTTAAACTAATTTATACTCCCACCAACAGTGTAAAAGCATTCCCATTTCTCCAAATCCTCTCCAGCATCTGTTGTTTCCTGACTTTTTAATGATCATCATTCTAACTGGCATGAGATGGTGTCTCAGTGAGGTTTTGATTTGCATTTCTCTAATGACCAGTGATGATGAGCTTTTTTCGTATGTTTCTTGGCCACATAAATGTCTTCTTTTGAGAAATGTCTGTGCATATCCTTCGCCCACTTTTTGATGTTTTTTTTTCTTGTAAATTTATTTAAGTTCCTTGTAGATTCTGGATATTAGCCCTTTGTCAGATGGATAGATTGAAAAATTTTCTTCCCTTCCGTGGGTTGCCTGTTCACTCTGCTGATAGTTTCTTTTGCTGTGCAGAAGCTCTTTAGTTTAATTAGATCCCACTTGTCAATTTTGGCTTTTGTTGCCATTGCTTTTGGTGTTTTAGTAATTAAGAAGTCTTTGTCCGTGCCTAGGTCCTGAATGGTATTGCCTAGGTTTTCTTCCAGGGTTTTTATAGTTTTAGGTCTTACATTTAAGTCTTTAATCCATCTTGAGTTAATTTTTGTATAAGGTTTAAGGGAGGTGTGCAGTTTCAGCTTTCTGCATATGGCTAGCCAGTTTTCCCAGCACCATTTATTAAATAGGGGATCCTTTCCCCATTGCTTGTTTTTGTCAGGTTTGTCAAAGATCAGATGGTTGTAGATGTGTAGTGTTATTTCTGAGGCCTCTGTTCTGTTCCATTGGTCTATATATCTGTTTTGGTACCAATACCATGCTGTTTTGGTTACTGTAGACTTGTAGTATAGTTTGAAGTCAGGTAGTGTGAAGCCTCCAGCTTTGATCTTTTTGCTTAGGATTATCTTGGCTATATAGGCTCTTTTTTGGTTCCATATGAAATTTAAAGTAGTTTTTTTCTAATTCCATGAAGAAAGTCAATGGTAGCTTGATGGAGATAGCATTGGATCTATAATTACTCTGGGAAGTATGGCCATTTTCATGATATTGATTCTTCCTATCCATGAGCATGGAAGGTTTTTGCATTTGTTTGTGTCCTCTCTTATTTCCTTGATCAGTGGTTTGTAGACCTCTTTGAAGAGGTCCTTCACATCCCTTGTAAGTTGTATTCCTAGGTATTTTATTCTCTTTGTAATAATTGTGAATGGGAGTTCACTCATGATTTGGCTCTCTGTTTGTCTATTATTGGTGTATAAGAATACCTGTGATTTTTGCACATTGGTTTTGTATCCTGAGACTTCGCTGAAGCTGCTTAACAGCTTAAGGAGATTTTGGGCTGAGACAATGGGGTTTTCTGAATATGCAATTATGTCATCTGCAGAGACAATTTGACCTCCTCTTTTCCTATTTGAATACCGATGCAAAAATCCTCAATAAAATACTGGCAAACCAAATCCAGCAGCACATCAAAAAGTTTATCCACCACGATCAAGTTGGCTTCAGCCCTGGATGCAAGGTTGGTTCAACGTATGCAAATCAGTAAACGAAATCCATCACATAAACAGAACCAATGACAAAAACCACATGATTACCTCAATAGATGCAGAAAAGGCCTTCAATAAAATTCAACACCCCTTCATGCTAAAAACTTTTAATAAACTAGTCATTGATGGAACATATCTCAAAATAATAACAGCTATTTATGACAAACCCACAGCCAATATCATACGAAATGGGCAAAAGCTGGAAGCATTCCCTTTGAAAACCAGCACAAGACAAGGATCCCCTCTCTTACCACTCCTATTCAGCATGGTATTGGAAGTTCTGGCCAGGGCAATCAGGCAAGAGAAAGAAACAACAGGTCCTATGTTAAAGCAAACTCCAGGTCTGACCATGGAAAATCCTGAGCCAAGAACCAGGGAACTATTCTGATTGTTGTTATAATCCTATGACAATCCTCATCATGCCTCTGGGGTACTGTCACATCCAACTCTCTGATATGGAAGTTGGCAATGTGGTTGGTGAAAATCCCACAAAATAAGATAATTTTATTCTTCCACCAATTAAAGGGAGACACAGACATCATTATACAGCCATATAGAAACACTATGGCCCAGGGACACATACGTGGCCACATATCCAGATACAGAGAACTACCTGCACCTTCCTCCCCCTGCAGCCTAAACACTTACATTTAAATGTTCCATGGTCACATCATTGAGGGAGCTACAGGATGGATGAAGCAGTTCACAGATGATGGTGTCTGCACCCTTGCAAATCAACATTATCCGATCTTCAGGTGTCCGCACTAAAGATAAGCAAATTAAGCAAAGTAACTACATCAATTCCTTATTATAGCTTGTCTGAGCCAATGAGGGATGATAGGAGGCTATTCCCCATAACATTGTTTCTACCTTTAATGGAAGCTAAGTACTCAATGAGTGGTCACACAGGATAAATGATGAGATGAGGGTTGCTAAAAGTGAGAGAGGAACTTACAGAACCAGTTCTTCCATGAGTTCAATACTACCTGTGGAAGAGTCTGATGTAGAGTCACATTTAGTATCTCCAAGTCCCAGACCAAGGCTCTTATCTAGTAATGCCAAAGGTAAAAAATGACCTTCTTCCTCATTAGTCTGAGGCTCAAACTAACTAAGAGAGCAAGACAGGATGAATTTCTCCTATATTGTCTGCTCCCATCTCTTATTCCACGTTCAGACTTTATAAATTTATTCTTTACCTTTACCTTGGCTTTGAGGGTGCTGACAAGCCACTGCTCAGGAACACTAGGGACTTAGTATGGACTTAGCCTATGGTAGCAAGCCCCCATATGTGTGTAGGAGAAAGTTAAAGGATATGTGAGAAAGTAGGGATGGCTGCAGATTTGTATTTGAATCATGTACCTATGAGAAGGTCTGTGAGTGGGAGAAAGCATTTGTGTGTAGATAAAAGAGAAAGGCAATGTGTGAATATGTAGGAAGGACAAAGAAGGGGAGAAGGCCAACCAGGAAGGGCACCCACCAATAACAGACATCCTCTTGCGCACATTGTTGAAGTCCAAAATAGACAGCAGTTGGTAGACTCTGGTTTTCCCCATTTCGACCACTGTGACTGTCTCAGACGTGCGGGAGTGGAACACAAAGCCAAAGTTCCTGGCAGCAGTGACCAGGGCACCTTCATCTGGTGACTGAGCCTGGTACACCAGCATGCCTGACAGGAGAGAAGAGGGCAACCAGAGAACACAGAGATGAGTAGTTGAAGTCCACCCAGAAGTGACCCTGTCTTCTAAGTGGTTTACATAAAGATAGAGCCCAGAACATATCAGTCTCTTTTCTCTTCCTTTTCTTTCTTTTTTCTGAGATAGGGTCTCACTCTGTCACCCAGGCCGCGGCTCAAGCAATCCTCCCACCTCACTCTCCCAAGCAGCTGTGACCACAGGTGTGCACCACACCTGGATTATTGTTATTTTTTAAGATGGGGTCTCCCTACGTTGCCCAGGCTGGTATCGAACTTTCTGGGCTTAAGTGATCCTCCTGTCTCAGCATCTCAAAGTGCTGAGATTATGGGCATACGCCACCACACCTCGCCTTCATTTCCATCATTTTCAACTTACTTTACAGACTTAAGTTGGCATTGCAGAGGTATATGATACATATAGTGTATACAAACTGAACAGGCAGTTATTCTTTGACTTTAGTGAATAAAGATGGCTCAGGAAACTTGTTAAAAATGCTGGTTCCTGGGCCTCGCCCAAACTTGACTAAATCCATAATCACAAAATCTGGGATGAGGGCCTAAGAAAATAAATTTTTAATGAATCTCCTGGGTGATTCTCATGCAGGTCGTCCTGCATAAAACTGACCACATTTTTAAAAACACTGCTATGAGAAAATAAGATTGATGATTTAGTAAACAATTAAAAAAAAATATATATATATATATATATATATATATATACATATATATATATACACACATATATATATATATGTATATATAAATGAGTGTTGTCACCTTTAAAAGTCACCCTGGGAAGCTAAATGACTCACCTTATTGAATCAGTCTTTCAATGTGATATTACTCAAGATATTTCTGGAACTTCTCTGTTAGAATATTATCACAACTTGAAGTATATTTTAGATTATTTCTCTTCTGAAGGTTGATTTGATTTTTAAAACAGTTATGCATCATTAGAGTCTTATGCTTGTGAATAAGGTAGGTGGGGAATATAATTTTAGGTCAGATAAAAGATACATCTACTGAACAATTAAGACTATTTTCTTGTGTGTTTCCTACTCTGTCCCTCAAGGCAGTAAACAAGGCCAAGGCCAAATATGCTTCAAATAATAGCAGCTTGTTGGTAAAGCAGGAGACCAGAGAAGCATGTGGTAGGACATGAGATTGGGTTTTTAATCTCTGCTCTTCTTAGCTATAGGATTTTAGGCAATAAGTTAAGCTCCCTTAGCATCAGTTTCATCTTTCTTGTTCTGCCAACCTCAGAGGGCTGATGTGAAGGCTGTAGGAGATAACACAAATGAAAGCAATTTGTAAAACTGTAAAGTGATATACAACTATAAGGTGTCACTACTGGTAGTATTAACAGTACATTGATTTTAAAGGATGTGATTCATCTGATTGTCTAAATTCTCTTTTTTTTTTTTTTTTTTTAAGATGGAATCTCGCTGTCACCCAGGCTGGAGTGCAGTGGCATGAACTCGGCTCAGCTAATTTTTGTATTTTTCATAGAGACGGTGTTTCACCATATTGGCCAGGTTGGTCTTGAACTCCTGGCCTTGTGATCTGCCCACCTTTGCCTCCCAAAGTGCTGGGATTACAGGCATGGGCCACCGTGCCTGGCCTGGTTGTCCAAATTCTTATTTGTTAAGGAAAAAAATCTTCTTAATTAATTTTTTGAGACAGGGTCTTGCTCTGTCACCCAGGCTGGAGTGCAGTGGCATGATCTTCGCTCACTGCAACCTCCGCTTCCAGGACACAGGTGATCCTCCTACCTCAGCCTCTTGAGTAGCTGGGACTACAGGTGCACACCACCATGCTTGGTTAATATTTTTTTATTTTATTTTTTTTACTAGATAGAGTTTCATCATGTTGCCCAGGATGGTCTTGAACTCCTGGACTCACACAATCCACCTGCCTCAGCCTCCCAAAGTGCTACTGGCATGAACCACTGCACCCTGCCAAGTCTTAATTTGCAGTCAGTCTTTTCTCATTCATTGTTTCTAAAAACATCTGGATAAATTAATGGACAACATAGCCACATCTGGTTACTAAAGAAACTAGGAGATGTGGAGATATCTTCAAATTGGGGAGCAACAAGAGGATAACAACTCAACTTTTATGAGGCCTTGTCAGAGATTGTGGGCTGATCTGGAGAGAGGAACATCACAGATTCTCAAGATCAGAAGCTCCCAAGCCTCTGCTTTCAGGGACCATTCTTTTTTCTTTTTCCTGCCACCTTCCCTTCCTCAGAATAATTTTTTTTTTCCTAGAGACAGAGTCTCTCTCTGCCACCCAAGCTGTTGTGTAATGACACGAGCATAGCTCACTGCAAACTCAAACTCCTGGGCTCAAGCCATCCTCCTGCCTTAGCCTTCCAAGTAAGTGGGATTATAGGCCTGCAGCACCATACCTGGCTAATTTTTTATTTATTTTAAAATTATTTTTTGTAGAGACAAGGGTGGACAGGGGGGGTCTCACTTTGTTGCCCAGGCTAATCTCAAACTCCTGGCTTCAAGCAATCCTCCTGCCTTGGCCTTCCAACGTGCTGGAATTATAAGCGTGAGCCACTGCTCTTAGCCTCAGGGATCATTCTATAGTTAGTTACTAGAGAAGTTTCTCTGAAAATGTAGAGCACCATAAAAAATAAAAAAGAAATAAAAATAATCCGAAGCTCCCCAGATAACATCAAGTTTGACTCCCACTGAATGACTTCTTTTAAACCAAGAGTTTGTTTTCTACTTGAATACCTCTGATATTCAAAGGAGCTCACACTTATCTTGACTATCCATTCCATTGCCAGACAAAGCTACCTAGTAGAAAGTTCTTTCTTAGATTAAGCCATTGCAAAGCATATCAAATCACCCCACCTCCAGCCTAGACTCCATGACATATTATACGTCCATGAAGCCACCTTAGGACTCTCCTCACCTTCTGCTTTTTCTTCTGACATCACAGTATGACACAATGAGAGTGAGCGGAAAAATAAGTGTACCCAGTGATCTCCCTTTTTCACTGCTTCCACCAAAGTCTTGTCATAAAATGAAAACTTAGGGTCAGCCAGTTTGTTGAAGGAGAAATCGACCTTTTCTTTCTGGAACACATAAGACAGAACAAAATTTTCAGCAGCAGCTTGATACTTTTAGATCAATTTGGAGGAAGTTTTTGTTGTTGTTGTTGAGAAAGAGTCTCAGTCACCCAGGCTGGAGTGCAGTGGCACAATCTTGGCTCACCACAACCTCCACTTCCTGAGTTCAAGTAATTCTCGTGCCTCAGCCTCCCACGTAGCTGGAATTACAGGCATGCAGTAGCATGCCTGGCTAATTTTTATATTTTTAGTAGAGACGGGGTTTCACAATGTTGGCCAAGCTGGTCTCGAATTCCTGGCCTCAAGTAGTGGTCCACCCACCTTGGCCCCCAAAGTACTGGGATTACAGGTGTGAGTCACTGTGCCCAGCTGGCCCTAAGACTTTCTTATCTCCACCCTGGAGTGCAATGTCATGAACACATTTCTCCAGCTTCTACCAGAACTCCCAAGGATCTTTCTCCAGTTCTCTGCATACGTGGTATTACTTGGGTTGGGTCCTTCTATGTCAAGTACAGATACAATTTTGTTGCTTGGTGCTATGTTGGGGAAAGGGAAGATTGTAGTGAGGTATCTTGGCTCTTTTCTATATCTTACCCAGAGAGAGTTTGTCAGGGCAGCGAGGAAGTATGGTCAGGTCCAGAGCCAAGCCCTAGACTTGGCCAACCATAGAGTTATGAGCTCTGGGAAGTTCATGGCTTCAGTAATTTAAGAAGACCCATTATTTAGCATATATATCCCGAGGCTCTTCTAGAACTGGGCTCTTATTGTGACACATTCTTTGAAACTAGAGGCTGGTGAGTAAGGAGAGACAAGGATAGAGAGGAAGGCACGAGCCAGATCCTGTATTACCATCTTATTACCAATAAATAAGGTGTCATAGTGATTTTCCACTGGAAGTGACACAGATTCGTGTTGGAGAAAGTCCTCTAGTAGCTGCACAAAGAATATGTTGGAACTAGCAAGAAGAGAAGCAGGGAGACTAGTTAGGAGACCACTCAGTGATTCACAAGATAAATGATGAAGTAATGACAATAAATATTAAATTACGGGGATGGATTTGAAAATATAGAGAGCTAGAATTGATAAGACATGGATATGAGGAGTAAAAGAGAAGAAGAGTTAGGAATAATTTTATATTTCCTAATTGGGCCCTTGGATAGACAGTGAGACTATTCACTGAGATAGAATACCCAGTAGGAGAAGATTTTTTGACAGACTGAATTGGAGATCCTGAAGACATAAAGGTAGCAATGAAAGCAGGCAGTTGTACATACAGTTTTGAAGGTCAGGAAAGAGATATGAGCTAGTTTATGATCTCCTCTTTCAGATAAATAATATTTGAGAACACTGAACCTGTCTGGGTTCAGGACCGAGGTAGGGCTGGCTGGGAGCTGCAGAACGGCATAATCTAAGAGGCAGCACTCATGGATAACTCTGAAATTGAAAGCAAGACAACCAATTAAACAACTATGGAAAGCAAGTCCTTTAAAGGATAGAAACTGAGGATGACACCTGAGAGGAAGTGGATTCAGAATGGAGGGTAGAAGGTAGCAACAGAGGAAACTCTTGAGTTTTCGTGGTATAGCTATAACAGTTTTTATAGGATGTCTTTAGCTTTGGCCATGGATGGGAGGGAGTTATCCAAGTTTCCTTGGATTTATGAATTTGGAGGTTATCAGTACACAGGTAGTAGTTAAAGCCATGTAAATATATAAGATTACATAACATGACTATAGAGATAGAGAAGAGGTTAAATAATAGAGCCCTGAGGGAATATCAGCACCCAATGCAATGAGATGAGAAAAAGCAATCAGATAAGAAGGAAAAACAAGAAGAAAGCTGTTATTTAACAGCAGTCAAGGGACAAGAAAGCTTTAAGAAAAGGGGGAGTTTAAGAGTGTTAAAATCCACAGAGAAGTTGGGTCAGGATTTAATAACAAGGTAGTCATTCATGACGTTGGCTAGGATAGTTTCAGTGGATATGATAGGACAGAGTCTGAATACATAGAGCAGGCTGAAGAATGAATGAAAGGTGAGGAATCAGTGACTGCTATAATTGCCTGTTTACTTCTCTGACTCCTCTAAACTGCCAACTCTGAAAGTAGGAATCAAACCTGTTTTGTTTTCTCTGAGCCTTTTTGTACTTACTCAGGGTCTAACATGTGGTAGACAATCAATATTTTAGGCTGACTGATGGAGACAGATAATGGCTAGAGTGGAATGTAAGAACAAGGTAAGGTTCTAAGTATTTTTAAAAATATAAATAAAAATAAAATATTAAAAATGTATTGTTAGTGGTTACTTCTGGTTAACAAACTGTGGCTTTTAAAAGCCCATTTATTTTATTTAAAATTAATACTTTATTTTTTGAGACAGAGTCTCACTGTGTTGCTCAGGCTGGAGTGCAGTGGTGCACTCTCAGCTCACTGTAGCCTCAGCCTCCTGGGTTCAGGTGACTCTCATGCCTCAGCCGCCCAAGTAGCATGGCTATCACACCCAGCTAAGTTTTGTATTTTTCGTAGAGACAGGATTTTGCCATGTTGGCCAGGCTGGTCTTGAACTCCTGGCCTCAAGTGATCTGCCCATCTTGGCCTCCCAAAGTGCTAGGATTACAGGTGTGAACCACTATGCCTGGCCTAATACTCCTTTTTTTAACAACAGTTTTAGGTTTACAAAAAAACTGAGCAAAGTACAGACAGTTCCTGCCTAACCCCTCTCTCGGCTCCACCCTACAGTTTTCCCTATTAACATCTTGCATTATTGTGGTACATTTGTTACAACTGATGAACCAATATATTGCTACATTATTATTAACTAACCCATAGTTTATATCATCTTTGACTCTGTGTTGTTGATTCATGGGTTTTGACAAGCACATAATATCATGAATCCACCATGGCAATATTATACAGAATAGTTTCACTGCCCCAAACATCTCCCATGCTCCACTGCTTTATCCCTCTCCCCACTCTCTCCAAACCCCTGGCAACCACTGATCTTTTTGTTTTTACTGTCTTTATAGTTTTGCTTTTTCCAAAATGTCATATATTTAGAATCACACAGTATGGAGCCTTTTCAAATGGGTTTCTTTCACTTAGCAATATGAGCTTAAAGTTCCTCTGTGGTGTGTGTGTGGCTTGATAGCACACTTCTTTTTATTGCTGAATAATATTCCATTGTATAGATGTACTAATGTAAAGAGCTGAGCTGAGGCCAGGCATGCTGACTCACATCTGTAATCCCAGAACTTTGGGAGGCTGAGGTGGGCAGATCACTTGAGGCCAGGAGTTTGAGACCAGCCTGGCCAACATGGTGAAACCGCTTCTCTACTAAAAATACGATTAGCTGGGTATGGTGGCCACGCCTGTAATCCCAACTACTTAAGAGGCTGAGGCATGATAATAATCTGAACCTGGGAGGTGGAGGCTGCAATGAGCTGAGATGGTGCCGCTGCACTTCAGCCTGGGCGACAGAGCGAGACTCTGTGGGGAAAAAAAAAAAACAACAAGCTGAGCGGAAAGAATCATAAATCATATATATAAGGGGATATTCAGATATTAAGAAAGAGAGATTGACTGAGGTTCCTGAAGAAGTAGGAAGGAAGGAATGGAATCTAGAATATATAGGTTAGTACTGAAAGAAAAGATTATACCTTTTTTGAGACTGAAGGAAAGGGGGTAAAGGCAAGTTGAGGTACATGCACAGTGAAGGATAGTTAGCTAATAGTTTGGATTTTTCTCAGTAAAATAGAAGGCAATATCAACTGCTACATACTGAGGAGCCAGGGGAGTGTGGTAGAAGGCCTGAGAATGGTGATATCAGCTTTTAGAAAAGCTGATGTGGAGAATATAATATGAAGCCAATTGCAAAATGGTGAAAAATTTGCCAAGTAGCACTGGGGGCCCAGAGGACAGTTAAGTCTCTGAATCTGTAATGGTTTTGTGATCTCCAAAACAGTGCTCAACACTCTCAGATTAGAAACAGAGCAGGGTCGATGGTTTGGTTAATTCAAGGTTGAGATTTGTTCAGTAATTAAAGAGAAGGAAAGGAGAACTAGTAAGGTATTAAGGACACTTACGATCCCAGGGTACATACAGGCAAGCTAGGAAAGAAAATAAAGTCATAAGGGATTGACAGACTGGAGGAAAACAAAAGCCAAGGGTTCATAAATCTCCATGTGATAAAAAAGCAGAAATACTTAAAAAAAAAAAACAAACCTCAACTACTGAGCCATGTGCTGAGAATATGGAGGAATAAGGCTTGTGATCAAAGATTGTGAAAAGAAAGTTTACAATATATCTTTTTTTTTTTTTTTTTTTAGTCTAAGAGGTCATCTGAACATCTGAAGGATTCTTTCAGATATCTGAAAGAGTTTATAGTGATAGGTCATCCATAAAGATAACAATACCACTCAGTGATTTGGAGGGGAGGGAGAAGTTTCAAAGTCCCCAGTGAATGGGGTTTAGAAGCCAGAAGATTCCTAGATGTCAACAAGAAGAGTTAAAGATGAGTATAGCCAGAAGTCATAAGCATCACAGGAATAAAGATTGTATAGGGGAGAAAAACTAATGGTTTAAACATGGCACAGGATAATGAGGGCAACACCTTTGAGCTTATCCTATTCAGAGTTTATGACATGCAGAGTATGAGAGAGATTGGAAAAAAAGGGATGCTCCCAGGGAAAGTCATGTTTCAATTAAAGCAGGGAGCATTTTAATGAAGGGATTGAGGCTATAGGTAAGTTTGTTTACAAGAGGACAAAGATTCCAGTGATTTAGTGAAAAATGTTCTATGGTCAATCAGTAGCAGACAGAAGAGGGAGAGGAAAGAAACCCCAGGAGGAATTTTCTCCCTAGAAGCTATAATTTTGCCAATAATGCCAAGGTCATTAGCAGAGCTGTTGGAAGACGATTTAAGGCAAATCACTGAATTTCCTTCCCCTTCCCAACCTCTTTCGATGGATAGGGGTAAGGCAACAGTTGAGAACTGGAGTCAGATGTTTGGTACGTAAGTCAAGTGGCTAAGAGTTTGGAATTGGGTCTAGCAAGACAGGGATAAGGTGAGGAGTACTCTGAAGGTCACAGAGGAACCCCTGTGAAGGGATACTTAAAAACAAACCCATAAACAAAAGCTGCGTCCAATACTAGAGAAAACAGCAAAAATTAACTAGCTAGAGATAAGAAGAATGAATAGGAAGATATTTTTATAACTGTATAAAGACTGTTGAATATGTCACAAATCCTTAAGTTATAAAGGAAAATGATCGATCAATCATGATTGATCTGATTTGATTACATGAATTAAAAACTTCTACACAAAATAATATTTAAAAAATTAAAAACCAAAAGACAAAATGGGAAAATAATTTTAACTTATGCACCAGAAAAGGAAGAGCTGGTATGTTTACTGTATAAAGAACATTTAGAAATGAGAAAAAAAGGGCCGGGCGCGGTGGCTCACGCCTGTAATCCCAGCACTTTGGGAGGCCGAGGCGGGTGGATCACGAGGTCAAGAGATTGAGACCATCCTGGTCAACATGGTGAAACCCCGTCTCTACTAAAACTGCAAAAATTAGCTGGGCATGGTGGCGCGTGCCTGTAATCCCAGCTACTCAGGAGGCTGAGGCAGGAGAATTGCCTGAACCCAGGAGGCGGAGGTTGCGGTGAGCCAAGATCGCGCCATTGCACTCCAGCCTGGGTAACAAGAGCGAAACTCTGTCTCAAAAAAAAAAAAAAAAGAAAAAGAAAAAAAGAAATAAGAAAAAAAGGCCAAAGAATGTGAATAGATGGTTCACAAAGTAAGTATAAATGGGCAATAAAGAGATGGTAAGGAGAAGGAAAATAAGCACATAAAAATGATTCAAAAAGGTAAATTAAATAATGAGATACTATTTTTCATCAATTAAATTTCAATAGATTAAAAATTGTTAATATCAGTTCTGACAAGCATATGGGGGGAAAGAAACTGTCATATATTTCTGATGGGATTATAAAGTTATGAAATCTATCTGGAGGGCAATATGGTAATATTTAATGTGTTAAAATGTGGCTACCTTTTGACCAATGAATTTTACTTCTAGGACTTTATTCTAAAGAAATAATTATCAGAGAAGTAGACAAATGTATATGTCATAATAATCACCAAAATGTCATTTGTAATAGCAAAACAAAATTAAAAATAAGAAATTAAATAAATTAAGGTACACTGATGCCATTGAATAGTAGACACCCATTCAAAATGATGATGTAGGCCGGGCATGGTAGCTCACCCTTGTAATCCCAACACTTTGGGAGGCTGAGGCAGGTGAATCACAAGGTCAGGAGTTTGAGACCAGCCTGGCCAACATGGTGAAGCCCTGTCTCTACTAAAAATACAAAAAATTAGCTGGGCATAGTGGTGGATGCCTGTAATGGAGGGAGGTGGTTAAGGCAGGAGAATCACTTGAACCCAGGAGGCAGAGGTTGCAGTGAGCCAAGATGGCACCACTGCATTCCAGCCCTGGTGACAAGAGAGAGACTCTGCCTCTAAATAAAATAAATAAATATAAATAAAGTAAAATGATGATGTAGAACTAGACCTACCGGCATGGAAAAATGATTACAATATAGTGTCAAGTGAACAAAATGAAACTAGAAATAGCATTCATATTATGATTTTACCTTTCTATGTGAAGAATTTTTTTTTTTACAATGAGCATGGATTTTTTTTTTTTTTTTTTTTTTGAGACGGAGTTTCGCTCTTGTTGCCCAGGCTGGAGTGCAATGGCACAATCTCGGCTCACCGCAACCTCCATCTCCTGGGTTCAGGCAATTCTCCTGCCTCAGCCTCCTGAGTAGCTGGGATTATAGGCACGCGCCACCATGCCCAGCTAATTTTTTGCAGTTTTAGTAGAGACGGGGTTTCACCATGTTGACCAGGATGGTCTCGAGCTCTTGACCTCGTGATCCACCCGCCTCGGCCTCCCAAAGTGCTGGGATTACAGGCTTGAGCCACCGCGCCCGGCCAAGCATGGATTTTTTAAAGAGAAAAAAACCAATAAAGCTATTTTCATTTAAAAAGAACAAATGAAGATCTTCAGAATAAAACAATGGTCATTTATATAATGCTTTCTGATATATGGGGCCAGTAAAAGCTTTAATATTTCAGTGGCTAAGGGAGTCTCAATTTGTGTTAAAGATGCTTCTCTGAAGCACAGCCTCACTCAGCCTCCACATGCATTTCCCTTGGAGCTGGAATCACTCACCTCAGAGACTGTCACCCTCTGTCCATCCTTGTCATAAGTATCACCTGTTGGTATGTGAACACAGCAGAGACTTGGCAAGGGTTTTAAAGGAGTGTTTGAATTTCTTTAAATTGTGGTATAAATAACAATTTATATATATATAATACATGTCATAAAGCTTACCATTTTAGCTATTTTAAATGTAAAATGCAATGACATTAGTTATATTCACAATGTTGTGCAACAATCACCACTACATATTTCCAACATTTTTTCAGCACCCCAAACAGAAATTTCCCATTTCTCCCCATCACCAGCCCCTAGTAACCTCTAACCTACTTTCTGTCTCTATGAATTTGCCTATTCTAGATAGTTGACATAAGTAGAATCATAACTTTTTTGTCTTTTGTGTTTGGCTTACTTCATTTAGCATAATGCTTTCAAAGTTTCTTCACGTTGTAGCATGTATCAAATTTCATTACTTTTTATGGATGATTAACATTCCATTGTATGTATATGCTATACCACATTTTCTTTATCCATTCATCTGTGGATGGACATGTGGGTTATTTCTCCCTTTGGACTTTTGTAAATAATGTCACAATGAATGTTGGTATACATGTATCCAAGTTCTTGTTTTCAAGTTTTAGGGGTATATACCTAGGAATCAAATTGCTAGGCCATATGGTAATTTAAAGGAGGGCCTTAAAAACTTGTTTCTTCTGATTCCTTCATCTTAGACTTGCAGTCAAGCTTTCCCCAATCCCCTCAGGCCACTTAGCTCCTAGTGCCCAGTAAGCTCCTTTCTCTAAGCCAGTGGTAAGAAGAGGATTGCTTGAGCCTCAACTCTTCTCTCCTAGGTGAGAATAAGATGAAGCTAGAAGTCAGTCACTGGATCTGTGAGAGACTTCACACCTCAGGAAGCCCTCCAATCATAAGAGTTACCCAGAAGAGATGTGGACATAGTTTTAGAGTGTTTGGGATTCTTGGCCAGTGGATGACCGAATTGAGGTAGAAGATATATCTGATGCCAAGCATGGAAACACTCATGGTCCTTTTCAATCTTGCCCAGTGTATGGTCAGGTCTTAAAATGAGCCAGAGAATTAAGAAGCTCATCCAAATCAACTTATCCAAAAATAAGCCTTCAGAGTGTATGTAAGTGAAAATTTGTTTGGTAGGGTTACCAAACAAGTAATAGGAAATACAGAAAATAATAGGAAATATTAGAGTATTTCAGCTTTTTTTTTTTAAGACACTCTTGTCACCCAGGCGAGTGCAGTGGTGCAATCTTGGCTCACTACAACCTCTGCCTCCCGGGTTCAAGTGATTCTCAGCCTCCCAAGTAGCTGGGATTACAGGCATGCACCACCACGCCTGACTAATTTTTTGTATTTTTAGTTGAGATGGGGTTTTTCACCATGTTGGCCAGGCTCGTCTTGAACTCCTGTCCTCAGGTGATTTGCCTGCTTTGGCCTCCCAAGGTACTGAAATTATAGGCGTGAGCCAATGTACCCAGCCTAGCATGTTTTTAATTCAAAAATTTTAATTATTTATTGAGGTATAATTTACTTAACATATAATTATCTATTTTAATGTGTACAATTTAGAGGCATTTAGTGCATTTATAATGTGCAGCTACCACCTCTCTCAAGTTTCAAAACTTTTTCATCACCCCAGAAAGATTATCTCATGTGTTCTAGCTTTTTAGATGCAATTACCTTCCTCTGCTAGCTAGGACACTGGGTATGAATGTTCACACACACGAGGACTTAACTCTATCACAAAAACAACTTATGCTTAAGGCATAAGATAAATAAGGGATTGGGCCTTGGAGACAGTGATCAAACTCTGACTACCCTTTAATGTTTTCTCTCAATAGTATTTATTGCTCTAAAGGGGAATCGGGAAATTAGCAGCTTCAGTAATATACTACTCCATTTGATTTATTTTTAATTTTATTATTAATTAATAAATAATCATTGTATATATTTATGGATACAATGTGATGTTTTCATACATATATACACTGTGGAATGATTATATCAAGCTAACTAACATCACCTCACATACTTTTTTTGTAGTGAGAACATTTAAAACTCTTTTAGCAATTTTGAAATATGCAATACATTATTATTAACTAGGATCAACATGCTGTGCAATGGATCTTGAAGACTTATTCCTCCTGCCTAACTGAAACTTTGTACCCTTTGACCAACATGCATTTGATTTAATACATGAGTGAACTGAGTATACAGACATTTGGAACTCCTTGAGGACAGAGACTAGGTCTGTTACATCTTGGTATTCTCAATTCCCAACATAATAGATTGTACCTATAAGACACTAAATAAATACTTTTTGGTTAGAACTGTTTGGGCTAGGAGGTCTTTGCTTAGAGAATAGAGACAGTTGTGAGACTAGGAAGTAAATGTGAATTCCAGAGGCTTATAGAGTTAGATCTAGATTAGTCTTAAAACAATCTGCAAAGTAAAGATTCCCCAGGACTTGGGGAAAGCAGGAAGACACGCATACCATAGAGCTTCCCATTAATAGAACATTTGTTGAAAATCATAATGTTCTGAGTCAGGGTCCCTGTTTTGTCAGAGAATACATATTTGACTTGGCCGAGCTCCTCATTAAGGGTGGTAGTACGAGCCTGTGCTGGTGTATTCTTTGGTGCATAAAACATCTTCCGATCCCAGTTGATATAGAAACTGTTGCCCAATCTTATTATTTCAACACTAAGGAGAAAGCAGGAAAAGAACAGTTCTGCATCAGAACAGGACAAGCAAATATATCATCCTGGTTTCCTTCTTAGCAGGGTAGATTAGGGCTAGCATCTGAAAATCAGTTCCTTCCTTGGGATTCTACCCTTCTGAAGGACCCTTCCCACCAGCCAACCCATGGTAATGCTGACATTGGCCATGATCACTTAAGGCTTTACCACCTGGAGCCAGATACACTTGATTAATGTTTTAAAGTCATACCTTTCTTTTTTTTTTTTTTTCCCAAAATGTATCTAGGAAAAGTTACAATTTTGGAATTTCTGCAGTAATGCAAGGTGTGATAGAGTAACAGTTAACTTAAAAAAAGCTTTGTGGCCCAATTGGAGGATTATTGCTCCTGTCACATGGGAAGACAGAGAAACTTGACACACTCAGAATTTGTTTCAGAAGAAGGAAAGAAGCTATGGAAATCAGGAAGAGTTTATGAGCTGACCCTCTGATAAATTTCCAGGCGTGTGCCTCCTCCCCACAAGAGTCTCTTCTCATTTTATGAGTTTTCCCTATTGCGTTTGTCATGTTTCTCTACTGCTCCAAATAGCATGCATTATAGATTCTTTATGGCTAACAAGCATGTTCATTTTAAAACAGTAAAGACTTTTAAGGGGTCTCCTTCTTATCATCATTCAAACTTAATGTGTGTTAGTCTGCTTTATTAGTAATCCCTGTCTGAGACAGCTGCACTGAGAGATATGGATTTTTTCCTTTGAAGTGAGGTAGGAGGTGCTCAGGTCCTCATCATTGACTCATTACTGATAATCTCTATGCCTGGAGTTGGGACTCCTCCCATCCTTTACCATATCAGCCACCATAGCAATCTCTCTAAACCTAAACCTCTTTTTTTTTTTTTAATCTCCTTTTTTTTCAACATATGCAGGTATTTACATGGGTATATTGTGTGTTGCTGGGGTTCGGTGTACAAATGAGTTGTTCACCCAGGTAGCGAGCATAGTGCCCTAGAGGTAGTTTTTAACCCTCACCCTCCTACTACCCTCCCCGCTTAAGCAGGCCCCAGTGTTTACTGTTCCCTTCTTTGTGTCCGTGTGTACTCCATGTTTAGCTCTCACTTATAAGTCATAAACCCAAACTTCAAATCACATAATTTTTTTCCTTAGAAAGATCTTTGCTGGCTTTTTACTGCTTTTAGGATAAAATCCAAACTCTTTGGCATGGAATTTAAGTCTTTTCGGATGTGACCCTAAATGACCATCCAATACCTCAGTCTAGCTATTCATTGTTCTGTGAACAGACGAAACTTTTAAAAACCGCCAAACCTTTGTATATGCTGAACTTTCTGCTTGCAGTATTCTTTCCTAATATTTTGTTTGCTGAATCCTACTCTTTTTTCAAATATCAGTTTTGTTATTACCTTTTCTGTAGACATTCCCAAACTTATCCAGGTAGAACAAATCCATTCCTTAGCAAGGCTCCTATATTATTTCTATTACATCATTCTTCATATTATACAATAGTCCCTTATTTATGTATCTGTTTCCATAGCCACATTCCTACCTTCTCTCCCTACAACATAGAAGGGTGCTTGGGACATAGTACATATTCAGTAAATATTACTAAATAAGGTAATCTAGTTACGCAGTTTTCTTGCCAAAAAGCCCTGGTACAAGGTTTAGAAAGACTGGAAAGGAAGAAACTAAAGTGTGTTTGGGCATGTGTATGTGTAAGTGTAAGGAAATACAAAACCTAGAAAAGGATGATGACAGTAGGGTAAATACTTTTTTCAACTATTTCAAATTTTCAACCAAGGTGCTTATGAAAAAGAAGAGTAAAAACCTTTCCTCTTCTCTTCTACAACTTTTAGGAACTGAACTTAGGTCACAATTACACATGTCTACCATCTATCACACTGTTTCTATGGGAAAATGGATTCTGAATTCTGATGAACTGACTTACAGGTGAATGTCTGGGCCTATCTCATTGGTAAACTATGGGCTGCCTGGCCTATGTTCCTGGGGAACCTACCCATGCTTTACATCACCAAATTTGTGTGTATGTTTTCTAGTTATTTCATGTGTTTGTATGTCTTATTTAGTCACTTACATTTTAAGTTATTTGAGGGCAGGGATAATTTTCTTTTTGTATAAACCACATAGTGTCTTCCTAGCACAGTATTCTAGACATGGAAGGCATCCATGCAATCTCTAGATATACCTCAGAACATTTTGTACACCAGGTGCTGTGGAGAGTGAGAGGTTAAGGATCACAAGTACATGCTTTTTAAAAGTTTACACTTTGGTTGGGGCATTAAGTAGACAGTATGAAGTCAGTTCCCCAACCCCACACCCCAAGGATCAAAGAAGCCTACCTGACATAGAGGGAAATGGGTACCATGGTATTGAGAATAATGAAGTAGGACCAGAATATGAGGATGGCAGAGACAGCTGATGAAGAGACATATTTTTCCCATGGCAGAAAAATCTGGAAGTGGTAGCCTTTCTTGTTTTCCCAAATGCCATGCCCAACTGCTAGGATAAAACATATGATGCCTAAAAGCAGGAAAATCTATAAATGAAAAAAAAAGAATTAAATGAACATTTCATCCAAGGTATGTGCTGCTTCAGTTCTACCCTCTAGAGCCTTATCTCTCAACAAAGCATCCCTCTCCTGGGAGGGAAGGGAGGCCCTGTGGTTCACAGGTTCTAGGCAGCAGTACATAGGACAGAAAAGAAAGCCCAGCAGGAGCTCTCCTTGTGGTTTTGAAGGGAGATAACAGTAATAAAACATAACAAGACTAATTAAGTACTAGGTACTATGCTAAGTACTTACACATATTACTTAATATTTACAATAATCCTCTTTTAAGAATAGATGAGGAACTTAAGAGCGAGAAAGCGTGTCTAAAGTCACTTAGCTACTGAGTAGAAGAAACAATATTTTAACCACTTCCAGAACCCAAGCACTTAATCATTCCATTATTGAAGTTGCTTTAACAAAAGTCTAAAACATGTGGGGCTTAGCAGTTAGGGGGTGGGTGATAAGGAAACTGATATAAAAGGCTGAAAATATGGAAATCATGTTAACATTAAAGAATTTGGTAAAACTGAAGGGTAGACCACATGCCTACTGAACCTGCAGCTCTAAGAGAAGTGTTTAGAAAGAATCAAAATATCATTGTGTATTGGCTCCCTTTAACAAGTATTAAAAGAAAGAATTGGCTAGGTATAGTGGATTATGCCTGTCATCCCAGGATTTTGGAAATACCAGACAGGAGGAGTGCTTGAGGCCAGGAATTTGAGACTAGCCTGGGCAACATAATATGACCCCATCTGTACTAAATTTTTTTTTTTTAAAGTTATACTAGGGAAAGAATTAGCCAATTTGTAGGCAGAAATGAGAAGGTACTGAAATTTGGGGCATCAAAGAACTACGACTTCTAGACACCAAACAGGAGGAAATAAGATTGAGACTTAAGCAAAAAAGGCCCAATAATTATTTTCAACTGAATAAAGTGACTCAGCCTTCAGGCAAAGTTCAGATTAAAGGTGACAACTTCTTATCCATGACTATTATTCCACATAGCCTCAACTTTCTTGCGTTTAAGTTGAGAGAGAAGGGCATGGAGGGGCAAGGAAGCAAAGAAATTGGACAAACTTGAAAACGATGTCTAGGAAAGAATTTTTGGAGGGTTTCTGACACATGAAACTAATTGGAAGCAAACAGATGAGAAGGCTTATGGGTTTTGGAGAAATGGTATTACTAAGTAACCATGAGCCTGGTCTAAAAAAGCCTGTGGCTGGAAATCCTTAAAACCACACTGGGCAAGAAGCAGTTTATAAAACCTGCCGTCCCTAGGCCGGGCGCGGTGGCTCAAGCCTGTAATCCCAGCACTTTGGGAGGCCGAGGCGGGTGGATCACGAGGTCAAGAGATCGAGACCATCCTGGTCCACATGG